CTTGACTGCTAATCAAAAAGTTGGCGGTTCAAAGCCACAAGTGGCTCCGTGGGAGAGAAGACCTGGTGATCTGTTCCCATAAAGATTACAGCCTAGGAAACCCTATGGGGCAGTTCTACTCTGTCCTATAGGATGGCTATGAGTTGGAATTGACTTGATGGCACACGGCAACAACAGATTGCTTTTAGATAAATTTGTCAATTAGTAAAAGATGGTAATATAAAGCTCTCTTTTGTGGTAAGAAACATGAGCCTTATCTAATGCTGTTAGAGTCTTTCCAGATGATACTTTTAAGTAGGTTTATTGATTGCTTTTTATGAATTCAAATGTCCAATTTTTGTTTTTATGTTGTTTGCCATTCATTTGATTTGTGGGTTAGCTCCAGGGAAATCTTAATTACATTATTTTCTCTTCTTTTCTACTGGAATTTTAAGCTATAGTTACTGGTGGTATACTACTCTAAAAAAAATTGAGGGATTAAGATAGAGCTATATTAGTAGTTCAGTGGTAGAATACTTGCCTTTTCAGTGTGGGAGACCTTGGTTCAATTCCTGGCCAATGCACTTCATGCGCAGCCCCCACCTGTCTTGTTATTGGAGGCTTCCATGTTGATATGATGCTGAACAGGTTTCAGCAGAGCTCCCAAACTAAGACAGACTAGGGAGAAAGGCCTGGTGATCTACTTTGGAAAATCAGCCAGTAAAAATCCTATGGATCACAATGGTCCAGTTTGCAATTTATCATGGGGATAACACAGGACTAGGAAGCATTTCATTCTGCCATGAGTGGGGTCGTCATGAGTCTGGAGGCCACTCTACAGCAAATAACAACAACAGTAGTGAGGAAGAGAGAATAAAGAAGTGAGAGTCAATAGAGGCAATCTTGTGGGAAGGCGTTGGCCAGTGGATTATCTGATTTATTAGATTTCTTCATTTATATCAAATTTTGTATACTCAAATTATTTTAAAAGGTGCTACTGTTTTTTATGCCAGCTTATAAAATTATTGGCAAATTTTAAACGCCTTTTCTAATCATGTAATTTTCCTTGTTTACTTCTGTTAATTTCAAACGGAAAGATTTAGATAAATCTGTAAACTTGAATATCTGAAAACAAAACATGCCTAGTTTTTGTAATAGAAATTGTTTGATT